CCAATTTTAGAACAAATAGTAAAAAAACAATACTGTGATTAATAATTAACTGTGAATTTTAATGAACATGGTTCGATAGTTGTTTGTTTGATATGTGTTACATCTTGCGATAGAGTTCAATTGATTTAGACAGTATAATTACTGAAAATCAAATTGGACCTCTGTGCCCTACCCCTACCCTTCTTTTAACAAAATACCAGATCAAGGTTATATACTATGTAATCTTTGTAAAAAAATGCCCAAAAGATTAGTATTTCGCATTGGTTAAATAACATATCTATTATTTTGTAAAATCACTTTAAAATGAAATATAAGATATTGGATCTGCTGCCCTCTGGCTGTTCATTTTTAGCCCTTCTTTAATATGAAATGGGGCAATTGACTAATTTCTAGAAAATAGGTAACAAACATAATTTTATAATTATGTTATTAACTAGGAATGTTAATGAACATAGTCCAGTATGTGCTGTTATGTAGTTTTTTGCTTTTTCTAGTGTAATTACCGAAAGTCAATTTGCACCTTTGTGCCCTGCCCTACACTACTACTAAAAAAATAATTTGATGAGTAATAAAAAAGATGTAATACTCTAATTAATTAATCATATATTATATCATCGAAATTAGGTTTAGAATAAATTAAAATCAAGCTTATTGGAAATAATTAATGTAGAGCATTTACTCGAACGCGACGCATGGAAAATAATTATCCGGCTAACTAACTATGACATGAAGGAATTATTCAAACAATGCAATTGTAGATCAAAGCACGATCAAACGGGTATCATCATTGATTATTGTCAATTTAAAACCGGTACACTGAACCCTACAATTGTTTTGAAATTGGAAATATGAATATTGGTAATTTTATTGAAAGAAGAATGTCAATATGAACTTTTCAACATCATATGAATGTGAATTATCCGAAATATTCAATAGAACCATAGCAACTTTATTAACTTTTTTGAATGAGGAATAGAAATTTTTAAAATAATATCAAGGATAGATAGAAGCTCACATGTCACGCGGGTAAGAAGATTCTCCACCAATATCTCAGAAACAAGTATGGATAAGAATTTTTTAACAACAATATTTGAAAGTAAAGGGAAAAAGTTGGATGACCAACCATCGTTTTAATTCGAGTAACTTTGCTAAAATCGTATTTTATAGTTAAGAATAAAAAGAGAAAAATTTATATTTCAGCACATAGTATGATCTCAGATGTCTTTCATCTTATTTTATATCATATTTTTTCCAGTTTTATAGAATGTTTATATTTTTGCTTATTATCATTGTTTTATTGAAATTATAGTATAAAAATAAAGCTCCTTATTGTACGAGTACTCGTAGTATTCATTCAATTTATGTTACATAAGTATTTTCTTAGGTCATTAGTTTTTTTGATTGTTTAGTCTACGAGACCTTAATATAAATTTCAAGTTAATTGTTAATTGTTTTATAAGCTATACTGTAAATTTTAAATTAGATTCAACAGATGTTTTCATATAATCTCTGCAATATCTTACATGTGGGTAGGGTAAAAAAAAACAACTGAACTTGAACCCTGGCAAAGGTGTAAAGGATAAAATATACAAATATAAAAACAAATTTAATTAAAAAATAACAATTTTACAAAAACAAATTAATAGTTATTCCAACTCTGCTCATGAATATTTTTGATGAAATACCAGATCAAGGTTATATACTGTAAATATTATCTCTGTAAAAAATGTACCTATGAAATGTAAAGTTTACATTGGTTGAACAATCTAGCTAATATTTTGTAAAATTTAGATTGTATTATATTGTTTATCTCCTGCCTATGCCATTTTACCCTGTCTATAGAGAAAAAAAAAACCAGGTAATAAAAATTTGTTTATTCATGCATTTGAGTTAGAACTAGAGATACGCCAAAGATTATTTTTAGGATTATTAACTAAATGGCAAAATACTTCACATTTATTGTTTCTTATTGTTTATAACACTATGTAATGTTTATTTTTGATTTTTAAAAGAAAAGATGCGATAGGATTTCGAAGAACAATTTCTACAATGATGGATTAGCTGGGAGTTTTACTGAACATAGCCAGATAGTTGTTTGTTTGATTTGTGTTATTTATTATGGTATAATTGGTTTGGTTTTTGCAATATAATTACACAGAGTCAAATTGGACAATTGTGCCATGTCCTATCCTATTATATAGAATACTTATAAAATAAAATAATTGTTTACAAAGTGGCATTATGCTTATCATAAAGTTATTACTTTGAGCTGACGTCTTGCATAAATAATGTCAGAAAGAAGTCTGTCTATAAAGATGCGCATTACAAACCGCAGAATATTTTCCTGAATATTCTTTGATGCATAAGAAATGTAATTACTCGAACGAAAAGAAATACAAATTTATCCTTCAATGGCCTAGGGAAAACTATAACCAATTATAAAGAAAATCTACTATTTGCTTCAGAGTTTTACGATGAGAACGCGCAAAGCCTGCCTGCAGCTTTAATGTAAGTCTTTCTCTTCGACGATATTGAATTTTACGAAAAATAAAAACCTAGTCGAGAGGAAAAACTAGAATAAACATGGAATTACAGTATTGGTTTCAAGAATGAAAATACTCGCGGAAAATGCTTGGGCATGATGATATTTAAATTGGTAATTTATTGGAAAATGTGGTGTAAAATTAAATATTAGAGCTATTGGAAAAACAAATATTAGATTTAAAATAACATAGATTCGATATCGTTTCATTTAGTTTTTCACATATCAAATGATTGAATCAAATAATTAAAAATAAATAACGTTTAATGGATATAAATTAATACATGTGAAAACTGTTAATTAACGAGCAAGTCGATATTCCACAATAAATATTTTTAATAATGACAAATCTTTAAAATATTATTGAATTAAAATAATTATTACAAATTGATGTAACAAATGCTTCAAATCTTTTAGTTAATGATTCAAATGATTCTAAACATTCAAGGTAAGTTAACAAAAATGTATCAGATGTTATTAATGGAAAACTTTTTTATTAACCCCGAAAATTATAGAAATTTTGATTTAATAATCTTTATAATTAAGTAGAAACATTCAAATTTTAGAGCAAAATATTGCAAAATATCATTTCTGTTCAGCCCTATTTTATATAGGTTTGAAAATTATTTGTTTTTTATCTTAACTAATGTTTTATAGTGTAAAATGTTTATTAAAATTTGTAAAATATTCATAATGAAAAAATATATATGATTCAAACATGCAAATATAATTGTATTTATTTGTTGGAATAATCATGAGAAGCAATTTTTTAATGAAAACAGTTTATGAAGAAAAGTACTTAGCATTTTCATTAATATCATAAACAAAATATGCTTTAACCCGATTTTATATAGCATAATTAAATAAATAATCAATTTATAAATTGTACATGCTCATATATACACAGATATAGTCATAGATATGTATCAGTATTTATGTAATATATATACATATACATATATATATATATATATATATATATATATATATAAGTTTTAATTTCAGTTGCTAAAGTAATTTTATCAATTCGTGAAAAATTGATTTTACGATATCGTGGGCATTGATTTTTTATAATTGGTCTTATGTTCAATTTCCCTAGCACATATCATAAATTGATTTTTGTGAATTACAATTAATATTTTTTCTATACTATGTTTGCGCAATCTAAAACTAAAATATGATCACATCACATAAAAACAATGTTAATTCATTAATAATCGACATATGTGTGAAAATGTATAAGGATAGTAAAATCCAATTGTATTAATACATTAGCTTCTCGTGATAGAGTAAGTTTACTACAAACCTTTATAGTCTATTTGAGCCAGAAACAAATTTACAAGTTATTGAAGTAAAACTTCTTTAGACGCGAAGCGGGCGTAAATCTTTGAAAATGCAACGGAAGTTGCGTTACGCTCGAACTCTTCGTTATTCGCTCCCGAGATCATTCGTTGTGAGAGCATCGGCGTACATCAACGAAGAGATAGGAATGTCATTGGATTTTATGGCTACATCGTAACAAAAATCTTGATGTAATAAAAAATGCCTGCTTTAAAAAAATATTTTACCCTGTCCCCCGTAAATAATTATAATAAAAATAATAAAGCCGTGTAAGAAACTTAAGTTTGTTGAAATAATTTCTATATTATTCGTGGTTTCTATAAATCTTTGAAGTTATTGAAATAGAAAATATTTTTTAGGCAAAACAGATATTACAGCTGTTCAAAGAATGAGATTATATCGCCAGCGAAAAAGTAAAAAAAATACCATTAGTCAATGAATGTATTTTACTTTTAATTACATGAAGTTCTTCAAACACAATTACATGATGAGTGAAGTTGCGAAAACAATATTTGTTTAAGCCTCGTTTAACATAATCCACAGTGTGAACGAATATTATAGAATTAATTAATCGGCTATTACTTCATTTCTCTAATGAAGGTTGTAATCAGTACAATGACAAACCGACCATGTCATATTTGAAGTATGACTTTAATTACATTATTGCTTTAAAATATTATACATATTTTTAATGCCATTATAAATATATGATTTATAAATTATCATTATATAAATGTGTATAATGGTTGACACTAATAAATATGTGCATCACGAGTGTCACCATATTACTAATAAACGTTACTAAAATGTGTAAAAATCCTGTATTTAACTTAAATTTATTTTTAACTTAAATGCCATCTCGTACTAAGCAAAAAAGTTTTACTTCAATCGCGCGTGAACCTTACGTGCACTCTTTTTATTAAAGAGTCTTGATAGTTGGCCATTGCTAAATTAGGAATGAAATTTAGGAAAGTGGATGCCGGCATATAACAATATGCGAGATAGTTAAGGAATAGTAAATGATTACTCAAACACCTTGCAAACTGAGTTTGATAAACAAAATTACTGCCCAATAATTCAATGTAAACAATTATATAAAAAATAATCAATATCTTACCTTCTTCTGGTCCTCGCCTCTTGGCATCATTCTTATTAGGCGTTGGCAGCTCCTTGCTATGTCCTTTTTCTCTATTATGATGAGGCATAACTACTGGTGCAAATTGTGCAGGTGGTTCAACCACTTGTACTAATTGTTGAGGTTGCTGAGGCATAACTTGATGATGTACAACATTTGGATGTGAACCTCGGTCATCGGCATACATTACAATTGCTACCACGAACCACGCCGCACTCAGGAGTCCAACTGCTTTTAGAAGCATTGAACGTCTTCGTAGTAAGAAACCCATTTTTATTTAAATTTATAACTATTATTTACACACTACTAATTAATCACTTGAAGGATCCGATGATAAATTTGTATATAGTCTTTTGATATTGTTGATATTTTCACTTCTACTAATATCATTTAGATTTCATATCACACTGAAGCAAACGAGTTAAAAATTGTTATTTACTCCTTGAAGTTTCTGCAGCAATTTGTTCCACTTACAAACTTTAAATCACGTCCAGAGTTTTCTGGGGAAGAAGTTTGTGCTTACCAATATCATTTATACTCTTCTAATACTGATGAGTGATATTTCTAATACAGATATGAGTAATTCATTGAAATGTGAAGTTGCTTGTATTGATATGTGGTAGTTTTTATTCAAATACATTAATATGACGTTGTTGTCCTGTTTAAATGCATATAAAATCCTCTTTTTGATATCATTTGTGTTTTGTGATATGTGTCATTTCATACTGATATGTTTCACGTTGACATGTGATCGGTGTATCTGAAACAAAAGGGAACAAAATATTAAAATGTCATTCATATATAGCAAATCTTTATTTTTTTATATTAAAGTATATAGGTAATAGTTATATATAAATGTGTATTCGCATAAAAATGTGTTTATAAAACAAGAAACAAAGTTATGCAAACATATAATAATAATAATGATGAGGAGTACTGCTCTGAGGCAGGTCCGTAAGCTGAGTTAAACTCCAACTCGATTCAAGAAAGAATAGTATGAGATTTTCCATTGCCCTTTAATGCCGCAGTGTCCAAAATAGGCTATGCTCAATTAGAAATATTGATGTATAATTACAAGTGGAAATTGTAATTACTACTGCATGATATCAAGTCCGGAGCGGAGGTTCGACCTCACGACCTTGTTCATACAAAGTAGTGCGTTTTACAGTTACGCCATGGAGCAACTTGAGTTATTTTTCATTCATTTATTATAGACAATTATAAATACCAATTTCGATGAGCCTATGTGATCCATTAAATTTATCATTTAGAGAAATGATCCAATGAGGAGATTTACTTGCAGATAATGAACTGTGTTAGTAGAAGAATACGGTGCTTAAATTAAGTTAGTAGGTCTTCTGGCTATTTTTGAGCCTTCTGGTTGGGGCCTGATTAATGGCTTGCTGGATTTGGATATTGGCCTAATTTCATATGGGTAGAGTGCATATTGCCAGTTACTAATTAATATGTGAAATATTATGAATTACATCACAATTAATATAATGTAATTACATTATAATTAATATAATATTAACAGTATACATTATAATTAATTATACATCATTGTTACATCATAGTACTTCGAAGTAATAGAAACAATGAAATGAAAAATTTTGGGATTAAAATCACATTCACTCCTAACCTTGTGTTGCTTATACTTTTCCCTGTGCTAATATTTAAATTTAAAAAAATTAATAAAACCATTTTAGAACATATTATCTGCATGGATTATGCCTAGCAGAAAATGAAAAAATATCACTATTTAAAATAATTACATATCAAAATTTCAAACCAAATATTTTATTTTACTAAAAACACTACTCTAAAGTGCAAAGAAGGCAAACACATCTGACGTCTGACTGTTGACACGCAACATATGCGTGCGCAATAAATGAGTTAACCAAGTCGGGCACAAAATAATAATAGCCACATTTAAATATTTTTTCTTAATATTAAACTTTCTTTCAATTGTAGTACATATTGGTGTAAAAATCCCTATCGAATGTATGTATTGAATATATAAATAAATGTCCAAAAATCGATTTTGTCAATTGATTGAATATATCCCCAGCACTCTACCAAAATTGATGTATATTTAACTTCCCGTAGGTTAAAGGTTATTGTAATCGTTCAAAAATCGAAAATGAAATTTTTTGCTATTTTTACGTTTTAGAGGTTTCTGAATAGAGCATCTGATTTGAATGATTCAAAAATCATACAAATGATACAAAATACAAAAGGATGTGTGATTAGGTTTTGGCAAAGACAAGCCCAGCTGTTTCAGAGATAAGGAGGAAAAAGTGATTTTTGCTCCGCGATTCAAGTAAAAATAAATTCATTTTACGCTTTTGATTTTCATTCAATTTAAATGTTGACAACATAACTTTAAATGATAGTAGTAGGGTTGACATTTGACATTTGACATTTCGTAACCCGTATGGTTGGCGTACAAGACTACACACACACGTGACCAATGACGAATCAGTAAGCCGTAACGCACTTCCGTTGCATGTTCTCTGATTAACACCCTAAAGTTTTACTTCAAAAAAAAATTATCTATTTTTTTTAAATATCAAAAATGATTTGATTTTTTTAATTTTAGCTAAAATTCTAAAACGTTTAAATATGTTTACTTTTTTATAAACATATTTTAACGTCATCGTTCAATTTATATTTTGTCTATAAACGAATAATGAAAGTTACAATATTTATAACAATCTATTTGAAATTATGCAATATTTCTCGAACATTTCATTAGGCACGGGAGATTTCTGCAATTTGCCTTAAGGCACGATGCCATGGACCACTAGTTGGTATAGTAATTAGTAATAAAATTGATGATTGCATAATAAATGTAGCCAGAAGAGATACATAATTGCGAACATAATAATTCATCAGTATATTTTACATAAGTGCAAATTAATATGGAACCGAAAAGCATGACAGGGTTCAGCTTGTACAGAATACGAGTAAACAAATACATGACATCAAATAGCACATATTGTTCTGGATATTTTACAATGGGCAAATAATAAACAAAGGTCCGTTGTATTGTGCACCCGGCAGCAACATCTAATAAGGATATGTTCACCGAGCGTGTGGGCTTTCATAAAGCATATAGGTCCATTTTCAAACAACGGTAAAACTAAAAGTTTTATGTATAATCTGGACTCCAGGGGATTCTGGTAGTGCAGTTGCTTATAACCGGTAGTTGGTAGCATTAACTTCTTGAACACGGCAAAAGTTATTTAGGAAGTAAACTAAACGGATAACGAATTGTTCCAGAATGCTCATTTGTTTAAAAAGTAACGGGAAGCTAATTACAGACTCTGCTGGTTAACGAGTTCTGCCCTGGATGAAATGAGATATATCATGTGCTGAAAATAGTTTAATTGCATAACACTTTGCAGGTATAATACAATGATGTTGTGAATTTTGAGAACTTGAATTAATTTATTTATGAGTGAGAAGTCAAAAACTCAAATGTAATATGTATTTTAAGTAGAAATAACACTGGCTAGTTTTCTACTATTGTCAATTTCTTGCCATATATGATTTAAATAGATTTTTTTTTAGAATTACTGGATTTCGAGTAAAGACAGTTGTAAATTATATGATGAAAATAAAAAAGAATTAGAAGTTGGTAACCAGAGAGGACCATCCCACAAATCAGGACAATATAAGATTATGGTGTGGATATGGTGAGTTCGATCAATGGCAGGAAAAAATCTGTTCTGGCTCTAATTTTTTTCAATTTTATTTTTTTAATTAATTTAATTTTGCAATCTGTATATACGTGAATTACATTTAGCAGAAAATGCTGTCAAGTTGTTTACAAATTAGTAGATACCCGCAGTGACGTATCTACTAAAGCTAATATAATATAAACAAAAAAGACTAAAAACAAAGGGAAACAACAATAAAATGTAGTGAAATGGAAGTATTATAGATAATTAAACTATATTAGTTCTCCAGGTATTTTACTTTTACGCCTGGCTCTAAATTATACGCATTTAACGAAACCCCAAAGTGGACTTCTATTTCATTCATATACTGAGATAGATTTCTATAATAGTTTTCTAACTGAATAATAAACTAAAACAAAAACAAGTAAAATAATGTAAAGATAAATTGCAAGTAGTATGAAGACTAATTAGAGATAAAATGAAAACATTTTAAAAAACAGCAAAATTTTCTACACGGTTTAATGGCGTTCGAGTATATTTGGGATGGTTCACCTTGGCTACCTACTCATCATATATTTTGGGCCTTTCTTGTTACGAAAACTGTTAAATTTCTCAGTTCTAGTTTTAGTTTATATGTTCATGTTCTAAATCCTCATCATAATATATTCATGATACGTGATGTATTTATGTAAGCAACATTACTATGATCTATCTAATAACTACCATAAAATATTTTGAATTTCAATCGATGTTGAATTGAGAAAATTATGATTAAAAAAATTTTAGTAGTATTATCAAATCAAATTAGTCTATTCATAATAACGATTTATAAGTGTACTTTACAAATTGAAAGTTTATGATACTACATATATATATATATATATATATATATATATATATATTATATATTCAATGCCCAGTCGAGGAATGACTACTTTATCTTGGAAATATATTTTGGACTTAATTTTCCTGTCTATTCATAACAGAGTTGACATAAATATATCTATTAAGGCACATATTCATATTAACATATTAATACATGGTTTTTAATCATTTCAATTGCAACTTTGCAAAAATGGCATTTTTCGAAAGTGTATGAATAGTATTTGAATGGAGTTTTTTTTAATTAACAGTCTGGGTTATATTATTACGCTTTAGAGTTCAACTTTATAAGTATAAAATCATAATACTAAAATATATGCATTATATAAATAAAAACATATTTTATATGCATTCATATAATACAAAATAATATGCACTTTGATGATAGTACATGCAGTACGGTATTCACAGTTTCTATCTGAAATCCAAATTCAACACAGTCATTTATAGTAAATATTATTTACAAAAACCATATTTATTTAGACGTGTATTTCGTTGAAAGATAAAATAGTTACAACAAATTTAGTTAAGGTAAAGGTTGCCGTCGCCAGATACAATATATCGTAGTTTGGTTTTGTTTGTTCTTGTTTTGTGTGAGGAAACGGCATCATCCGCAACATATTTCATGATGTCGGCACATTTTGATATTTCAATTTTTGAGGTGTTTTCGCACGAGTTGCCACGAACACCATAGGTAAACCCCTTAAGGTAACAGATCGTGATTTATATTATATATATATATATATATATATATAATATAATCTTAGAGTTGTTCATAAACATAACTGATATTAATTTAGTTATATTATAGTATAATTGTATTGAATTGAATTATAAATTGTAAATGTTGAATTTGAATCTATATATATATATATATATATATATATATATATATATATATATAATATATATATATATATATACAAACATCGATTCGGGGAAGAATAGTGATTTTCCATAGCCATTCACATCACAGTACCCGAAAAATGGGCTATTTTGAGTTGTACTATATTTTTTATCTTATAATGTCAGCAAAATTTTCTCATGGGTCATGGTAACTTTATTACATAATTTCGTTAAAGACATGCCGAAGAAACACATATATGACTAACATTTTGCTATATTGAAACTTTTTCCTCTTTCTACCAAATCTCGTATATTAAACATGTATGTCTGACAAAGCTCATG